AGCTATTAATAAAGTAATTCAGCCAATGGGCTCCCTACAGACTGGGATGCCCTTGCCCTCTCTGCTACCTAAAGAATGGCCTATAATAGTTATTGACTTAAAAGACTGTTTCTTTACCATACCCTTACAAGAAAATGATAGAGAAAAATTTGCCTTCACAGTACCTAATTATAACAATTCTCAGCCAGTCAAGAGATATCAATGGAAGGTCCTCCCACAGGGAATGTTAAACAGCCCTACCTTGTGCCAATACTTTGTGCAGAAACCATTGGAGATAATTCGTGTAAAGTTTCCACAATCCATAATTTATCACTATATGGATGATATCCTATTAGCTGATCCAAAGTTAGATACATTAGAAAGCATGTTTGAAGAAGTAAAAAAAGTTTTGCCTCGCTGGGGACTGCAAATTGCTCCTGAAAAAATACAAAGAGGAGATTCTATTAACTACTTAGGATATAAGATAGAGCTACAAAAAATTAGACCCCAAAAGGTACAGCTAAGGAGAGATCGGTTGAAGACTCTTAATGATTTTCAAAAGTTATTAGGAAGCATTTCCAACTTACTGGGCATCATGGGAATACCCAAAGATGGACTACAAAATTTGGCTAATACCCTAGAAGGGGACAAAGAATTAAATAGTCCAAGAGAATTATCAGCCGAAGCTGAGAAGGAATTGGCTCTAGTAGAAAAGACAATTCGAGAAGCACATGTGGATCGTGTGGATCCAGAACTTAAATGCATTCTTGTCATATTCCCCTCCAGACATTCCCCAACAGGTATTTTGATGCAGAGGGAAGATATTATATTGGAATGGATATTCCTACCACGTAAACCAAATAAGAAATTAAAGACTTATATAGAAAAGATCTCTGATTTGATTCAAAAAGGTAAACTAAGACTTCGCCAGTTGACAGGAATGGACCCAGCAGAAATTGTAGTACCTTTAACTAATGAAGAAATTTCATCACTATGGAAAGATAATGAATACTGGCAGAGAGCCTGCAGTAACTTTTTGGGAGAGATTAACAACCACTATCCCAAAAGCAAGAGAATAGAATTCATAAAGAAGACTGAATGGGTCCTTCCTCACATTGTACGACAAAAGCCAATTTCTGGAGTCCTCACATTCTATACTGATGCAAATAAATCAGGGAAAGCAGGATATAAATCAGGAGACTTAAGTAAAGTGGTACAAAGTCCATACAGCTCTGTACAAAAGGCAGAACTGTATGCCATTCTTATGGTACTGATAGACTTCACAGAACCCCTCAATATAGTCACTGACTCTCAATATGCAGAGAGAGTTGTTTTACATATTGAAACTGCTGAATTTATTCCTGATAATACAGAATTAACTTCATTATTCATACAATTGCAGGAAATCATCAGAAAAAGGGAACATCCTATATATATAACACATATCAGATCCCATACAGGTCTGCCAGGACCTCTAGCACAAGGTAATGATGAGATTGATCAGTTACTAATAGGTAATGTGCTAGAAGCTTCAGAATTTCATAAGAAATGCCATGTAAATAGCAAAGGTTTGAAGAAGGATTTCTCCATCACTTGGCAACAGGCTAAGGATATTGTGAAAAAATGTCCTACTTGTTCCATCTATAACCAACTTCCATTACCTGCAGGGAGCAATCCAAAAGGTATACAAAGAAATGAAATTTGGCAGATGGATGTGTTTCATTTTGCAGAATTTGGAAGATTAAAGTATGTACATCATACCATTGACACCTATTCAGGATTTCAGTGGGCAACTCCTATGAGTTCTGAAAAGGCTGATTCTGTGATTACACACCTATTAGAAGTTATGGCCATCATGGGAATACCTGTACAAATTAAGACAGACAATGCCCCAGCATATGTCTCCAATAAAATGAGACAATTCTTTGCCTATTACAATATAAAGCATGTTACAGGTATACCACACAATCCCACAGGCCAAGCAGTCATAGAAAGATCCAATCGAACTTTAAAAGATATGCTAAATAAACAGCAACGGGTAACAATGACTCCTAGAAATAGATTGCATAGTGCTTTATTAACCTTGAATTTTCTCAATGCTGATGAGAAAGGAACAACAGCTGCAGAGAGACATTGGACGACAGACAAAACTCCTGAGCTAAACCAACCAGTTTATTTCAAGGATGTGCTGACCTCAGAATGGAAACCTGGATATGTTCTACGTTGGGGAAGGGGTTTTGCCTTTGTTTCTGCAGGAGAAGAAAAGCTATGGATACCAACAAAATTAATAAAAATTCGATTCGAACAGGAAAAACCCCTTGATGAGGAGAAGTAAAAGATCATCCACCAATGTGACATCTCTACAAGTTGTAAGAAAAATTTAACAATCAAAGGTTGGGGTAGGGTTCTGTTTTTGTCTTTCCAGGATGATGGAAATACCCATCTTACAGAAGTCATAAGGCCTTGGATATCCGGATGTTTACAGCAGAAAGAAAGAATCTATTGGTACCAATCTACACACGGTAAAATCTCACTGTCTAATATCTATCTCTCTATCAATCTAGAAAAGTTGTGGTTCCAATTCAATTATAAGCCAAGCTGACTTTGGAGATGGAATTGGCTCACTCCTTCTCTAAACCCAAGCATATTGCTAAAAGGAAGTTTGAGAGATTCTTCAGTCCCATATCTGAAGAGCCCTCTGGTGTGGGACAGAAGGAAACCAATAAAAAGGGACCATTGTCTTCTAGATTCTAACTCTCTCCATGCTTACTCTTGATTTCTCAGAATCCTTTCTTACATGCTATGTCCTCTTTAAATCCAAACCTTCCATTTTGATAACAAATAAGTTTTTCTAATAGCAATCTCAGAAGTCTCCAGAAGGAAGATGGGGCCCCAACAACAACTCTACCCAATCCAGAATGATGCCATGATAATCATCATCATACTACACTTCTTACCAGAATTTCAGACAATCTTACCCGTTACTCTAAGACTTGCTGCAGAACCTACAGTTAGTTTAACTGAGATTTAACTATCTGAGCTTTCTCACAGTACCCAACAGAGATAACATCACCCCCTAAACAGCAGGAAGTAATTCTAAGAAAACGACGCCCCTTCTCCCTTAGGTTTCATAATTCTCAGGGTTATGGATGATGGTTATAGGGTTGGGGGTGGAAGGAAATATTAAACTCAGTATTCTAAAAAAAAAAAAAAAAATGAAAAGAAGAAATGGAATGGATAGGTATAAGGTATTATGGTAGATTATTATGTATACTAGTAAACAAATTTAGTAAAATAGCAGCCTTAAATAATTTGCACTGTAATTTGCACTGTTATGGATTCTTATATGTTGATACAAATGTAAACTATTTTTATATTCCTGTTTAAGATAATTTGTATATTGATACAAATACAGAACTATATTTGTTATAATGTACATATATTTCTACTCTTATTTGAAATATTTGTATATTGATACAAATGTAAATTTATATCTGTCATACTTTATGTAGGTTCTACTTCTGTTTAGGATATTCGGTATATTGATATATATTTAAGATTATTGTCATATTGCATATCGCACTATATACTCCTACCTCTGTTATAACATCTTGTGTATTGTCACAATTTTGAAGTCATCGTTCTTTACCATACACTTGCTTATAGACTGTTTACCTTGTTTACGTGAAGCCTTAGTCCTTAGGTTATTTCGGTAGATAAGACTTATAGATTTATAGTCACCTATGCTTGTCATCTCTATAGTTACGTTAGTTAGGTTATCCAGATTTACAGATACATAGGTCAGATGGACAGGTAATCTTCAAACACTTCATAGACCTAGAGAATATGGCATTTAAATAACTTAGAATTCTGTTGATGTGAGACATAATTGCTCCTGGCTGCACCAATTTGATCCCGAGAGAATGTTGGGCTTCTAAGACATTTCCATTTGGAAGTTTGTCTTCTTGGCACAAAATGGCCTACTGGGCAAAGAACTGCCCTTGCCTCGATGGCTGACAGTACTAATGCAATGCTATCCTTTCTGGACAAGCGGGACACAAGGAAAGCGACCACTGTACTCTGCCAAGACAGGGTAAGATGGTCTTTCAGAATTCCTGCTTCTGAAAATGGTCTGTCAGATACTTTAGGCCTGTAGCCAATTTGAATGCACCAACAATGCTGAGAAACATTAGGTGACTGTCCAGGCTGCCAGCTGTCTCCGTCTACTCTCGCAAGATTCCCGAAAGTTGCTTGCATCCATCTACCATTTCTCAGGTACCATTATATTCCTTCTCAGGTCTTTGATGGGATTGAAGACTAGCAGTTATAGTTACAACCTAGTAGATAGAACATATTAAGTATTAGATTCAGGTTCTTTAGGATAGGACACCTTTTGGAATGATCTTTGTAACATGCCATTTACCTATGCTCTATACTTCTCTGGATTATAGTATGTGTTTCTTGCTTGATATTGTTTGCATTGGTTGTAGTTCCATCTTATCTAGGTCATTATCCCTCATTATTCCTGGACTATATTTGATAACCATTCCTTTGTATATAGTCTTGTATTAGGTTAGAACTTTCTTATTTAGACAAAAAGGGGGAGATGTAGTGGGTAGCCATTCCAGCTTTGATCTGTAAGTTCCAACCCCCATTGAGACTTCGGCAACTGTCACGCCTACAAGGCGGGGCGAAAGGAGGCGCCTGGGGACCTGAGATCTGGATCGGCGGGCTCTCTCTCTCTGTTGCGGGACCCTGGACTAGAGAGGTGTACCAAGCAGAGCTCCAGAGAACACCGCTGGACTGCGATACACCTTCCCCAGACTCCGCGACCTACCTATCCCTTAATTTGTAAGTTACGCCATTAAATAAATCTCCTTTTATCTACGTGGAGTGGCCTTAATAATTTCACCAATAGTAAGTGGTGGTATTTCACATTGTGAAAATTTTAGCTGCTTTCAGGGACCATTTGTCACATAGAAGCCATTGATCTGCATTTTCTTTCATTAACTTACAGGTCTTGAAGATACTCTGAGCAGTAAGGCAGGCTGAGACTCACCTTTCTCATTCCAGACAATGTTGTGTGATCAGTTATTGGTTGAAAGCAGGAAAGATGGCATACCCAGAGCTGCCATGTACTTCTTCTATACCCCAATCCCTCTGTCATAAGTGGAGAATTGTTGGGGTTGGAAAGGATAAAAAGGTGAAAGGGAAATAACTATAAATGCAGTTACCCAGATACATCTCAATAGACTGTTGAGCCACGTGCCTGGGAGTATTCTTCACATACACAACTAGGAGCAGGAGTATTCACTGTAGAACAGCTTCTGTCCATACACTCCATGACAGCCACAAGCTTTTGGCTGAGTCCTTGGCAGGAGCAGCTGTAGCCAATGAGCTCAGCTTGACGCTTTTATGTAGAACACCCTGAGCACTCGTTGGCGGATCTGTCGAGTCTTCACCCCATAAACAAGAGGATTGAGGGCAGGTGGCACAAGCAGATAGAGAGTGGCCAGCAGAACATGGACATGATAGGGAACATGGTTCCCAAAGTGGTGAGTGAGGAAAGAGAATATTCCAGGAATGTAGAAGATGAGAATGACACAAACATGAGACCCACATGTACTGAAGGCCTTGAGTCTGGCTTCACCCCCTGGGACCTTCAGCACTGCCTGGAGGATGAGGGCATAGGAAATGCCAATGGCCAGGACATCTAGCCCAACTACCAGCAGTGCCACTGACAGCCCATAGGCTCGATTCACTATGGTTTCAGAACAGGCAAGTTTTACCACAGCCATATGCTCACAGTAGGCATGGCTTATGACAGTGGCTCTGCAGAAGACAAGATTCCGCAACAGGATGGGGAAAGAGATGAGGAGGACCAATCCCCTCACCAGCACCACCATCCCAATGCGCCCTATGATCCCTGGATGCAGGATGGTGGAATGGCGCAGAGGGTGGCAGATGGCAACATAGCGGTCCAGAGCCATGGCCACAAGTATGCCTGACTCCATAGATGAAAAGGCATGAATGAAGAACATCTGAGTCAGGCAGACAATGTACCCAATCTCATGAGCATAAGCCAGGAGCACTGTGAGGGCTTTGGGTGCAGTGGGGGAGGCCAGGACCAGGTCAACAGCAGCGAGCATGGCCAGGAAGAGGTACATGGATTGGTGCAAGGAGGAGTCAGTCCAGATGATGAAGATAATAGTCACATTGCCCACTAGAGCAAGGAAGTAAAGGACACCCAGGGGCAACGCTATCCAGTGCTGACTTTCCTCCAAGCCTGGAATGCCTACTAGGAAGAAAGAGGGCTGGGGTTGCCTCCAGCTGGAATTGCTGAGGGCCATGATCAACAGCACAGAGAAAGAAGAGTGAAAAGACACCCAAGTCACAACTTCTCCATTCTTGATATTCTAAGACACTGTGCAGATCCAGCTACCATGTTCATCAGAGCAACAGGTGACTTAAGCTGCAACACGAGGGAATAAAGTTAGATTCAAGGAAGAAAACCCTTTCTGGATACAAATGTTTTTCAGATGAGCCTTCCACACATCTGAACTGGGTTGAGTCTAGCTGTGATGTGAGATAAGAGCAAACCCTGAACACAGCTGCTTGAGAGAGGTGTTAACTCTTCTGTTCAGTGACTTAAACTTTGAAACTGTCAACTTGAAAGCATTGTCTTTACTAACTGTGTAGGTAGTGCTGAAGGCTAAGTCTCCTGTCACTTTGACACTCATCCCCTGCAGCCTCAGGACACAGTATTCCTGAGATAGGCTGCATCCCACAATCTTCTCCATCTCATTGCAGATTGGTTCCAGGGTTTCAGGATCCCTTCCCTTCCTCTTCCCTATGTTAACTAATCCACTGCATGGTTTTGACTAGTTAATGTGCTTCAGTTCATTCCAAGCTTATCTTTGATGCAAAAATATTCCTGTGATGCATAAATTTATTTCTTTGTTTGCTTACCTAAGCTCATACACTCAACATTCAAAACTGGGTGGCTTACACAGCCTTCCCAAATATGCTCTTCCTATTTTATATCAGTATTTCTGTGAAGAAGTCCTTATGTATGTATCCAGTTTGAAACTGTTTTTGTTTATTCTACAATGGATGCCTTTTGTCCCTTCTATAATCCTCATTTACCTTAACTTCAACATCTCACAGTCACCTTTTTCCCTCCTCAGCTCCCAGCATTATTGCCTGAGGGTATATTCCATGTTTTTCTTACCTGAATTTTCCAATTATGCATTTATATTTGTTATGTATCATCTTAATTAACTCTCAATCTCAAAGTCACAGGATCTTCCTATAATTCAACTATTACTAGGTGACTCCTGTATGTAAAACGTTTTGGTGAATGTAATGCATGGGATAAATCACAGATGGGCAGGCCAGGTTTGGAGACTATCTTCATTGAGTTTCTTTTCCAGTGGTTGTGTGTTTCTAGTTACACATATGTTTTGCTGTCACCATTGCAACACTGTTGTAATTATACAATCACACAGGCTTACTTTACATGGGAGTCTTGTACTTCTGTCTCCTCCCTCCTTTATCTGAATTGATTCCTTTCATCCATTGAAATCAAGATTCCAGTGCCCTTTCCTTCACAAGAACTCACAGTACTTTGCCAACCCTGATAATACTGTCCATATCTTATGATTCTCTTTTATTTATCTATACCATTTGATTCTGTATCATTAGAAAAACTCTTTCAGTGTCTTACAATCTTAGAATCAGATCTCATTAAACTCGGTAGTTCAAGCTTGCCTATTCACCCTTCACAACAAACAAATTCAAGTTCCAAAAAATATAAACCATGTCTATTTCATATTCTAGTAATAGAACTTTGTCAGGCTACTTAAAATTTCTAAACCTTGATTTCTCATATAATATATATGATATATACAATATAATAGTAAAATAAATAATGTCATCCATGCAAATTGTTATTACTATCCATCAAGTTATACATTTAAAGTCCAGATGCATGTTATTCTATGATTTATGATTACTATTATAACATTATTAATAAAAGATGATTAAGAATAAAATCTCAAGTACCTTTTCATTTTTATTGGCAGTCAAGACTCCTTTGTGTTTCAAACTTTTCATTATGCCAGTGCTGTGGGATGGTCTGTATGTCAAATGTGTTGCTGATTGGTCAATAAATAAAACACTGATTGGCCAGTAGACCTGCAGGAAGTATAGGTGGGACTAACAGAGAGGAGAATTGAGAAACAGGAAGGCAGAGGGGGATACTGCCAGCTGCTGCCATGACAAGAAGCATGTGAAGATGCCAGTAAGCCACGAGCCATGTGGCAAGGTATAGATTTATAGAAATGGATTAATTTAAGATATAAGAACAGTTAGCAATAAGCCTGGCACGGCCATACAGTTTGTAAGCAATATAAGTCTCTGTGTTTACTTGGTTGGGTCTGAGCGGCTGTGGGACTGGCGAGTGACAGAGATTTGCTCTGACTGTGGGCCAGGCAGGAAAACTCTAGCTACAAATGGCACCCAATGGGTTGTCAAGAGTTTCCACTTAAAACCTGAGAAAAAAGATTCTAAAACAGAGGTAAAAACAGCTTCCGCCGGGCGGTGGTGGCGCATGCCTTTAATCCCAGCACTCGGGAGGCACAGCCAGGCGGATCTCTGTGAGTTCGAGGCCAGCCTGGACTACCAAGTGAGTTCCAGGAAAGGTGCAAAGCTACACAGAGAAACCCTGTCTCGAAAAACCAAAAAAAAAAAAAAAAAAAAAAAAAAAAAAACAGCTTCCTAGTTGTCTCTTTCAAGTTAGCAGCAGCCTGCATGTTTGAGCTACTATGGCGGGTTCCTGGTGTGTGCCCTTGACCTGAAATGTGACGAGAATGAGGCCTCTGCAAGTGGCACATTAAGCTGCGTGGTGGATTTAGCCTTTGCTAGTACAAAACAAAAAAAAGAGGTATCTGGGCTACACGCTGCTTTGATAGAGACATAGACACACTATTTCTGAGAGTTGATGGCTCCCAGAGCTGGCGGAAAATGCACCACTGCCATGTTAGGAAGCTGAAGTGGGTGGAGCCAGCAGCCACAGCTCTGTTTCAGTCTTAGAATGCTGCAGTTTAAAGCAATAGGTTCAAGGCAATATAAAAAATAAGCCAAGTAAAGATGGCTACCACTCAGAGAATCTGGATTATGTTCTCTTTGATATTTGTAACTGAAGAAAAACATTTGATTATAAAAGTTGTTGAGTTATGCCAAAATGTATACTTTAAAGGTACCTTGACTTCAAAATTTGGATGTAAGAATATGTTGCTTTGGAAAGGATGCTCTGCTTTTGTTTCCACAGAAAGCAAGAGGCTATGGATTTGTTCCAGATTAAGATACATCAGGTTTGACCAGCCAAGATCCCCTGAAAGGTCTCCGATGACACTAAGGTCCAGATGATCCAACATCTAGAATGGTTTCAAGGCAACTGGCTCAGATGATATACCCTCACGGACTACTCCATAATCCTAAAATTTTCTTTGTGTCCCCATAAGATACAGCGCCTCCCCCCCTCCAGCAGGAAGTAGTAAGAGGAGCTACACCCAAATTCCCAAATATACCAAGCTGGCTTTGGAGATGTGTAAAAGTTAAAACCTTCCTTTAAAAAAAAAAAAAAAAAGAAAGAAAAGGTAAAGTGCTGTGGGATGGTCTGTATGTCAAATGTGTTGCTGATTGGCCAATAAATAATACACTGATTGGCCAGTAGTCCAACAGGAAGTATAGGTGGGACTAACAGAGTGGAGAATTGAGAGAACAGGAAGGCAGAGGGAGACACTGCCAGCTGCCGCCATGACAAGAAGCATGTGAAGATGCCGGTAAGCCACGAGCCACATGGCAAGGTATAGATTTATAGAAATGGATTAATTTAAGATATAAGAACAGTTAGCAAGAAGCCTGGCATGGCCATACAGTTTGTAAGCAATATAAGTCTCTGTGTTTACTTGGTTGGGTCTGAGCAACTGTGGGACTGGCGGGTGACAGAGATTTGTCCTGACTGTGGGCCAGGCAGGAAAACTCTAGCTACAATGCAAGTCTCTTGATGTTATAATAATTCATTGCTATTGCCTCTGTTTATGTTAACAATAAGACAGAAAAGTCACTGTTTAACCTGTTTCATGTTATTCACACCTCAAAGTTTACAACAAAAAGTTGGGATTATATGTTTGTGACTTTCTATCTGTATTAAGAGACAGATGCACTATGAAATAGTATTAATCTATTCAGAGGCTCAGACATATATCCATAAAGAGTCAGGCATTACTCAGTTCTTGGAGATTACACAATAGATCAGTCTGAGTGACTTCTTCATAAATCAATTATGATCACAATAGGGCCCTGAGACTCTGTATATAACAACTACACAAGTCAATTGCCTATGAGCACACATCTCCCAGCCTTTGCTTTTCTTCCCATCTGAGCTTAAAGGAATAGTGATAGCTCTGTTGAGAACTCCATGGTAATCTATGCAACTACAAAAATTCACCCATCAGTGCTCAGTATTCTATATAAAGAGAAGATTAATTTTCTTTGCTATCTCCTTCAGAGGCAAGCTTCAGCCTGTTTTTTCCATTTTTAAGCTGAGAAGCAAAAGTACCACCAGGCATTTCAGAAGTGTGTCCAAAGCTTTTACAGGAGGAATATCAGGGGAACTGAGGAGTAATGATGCTATTCCTTGGCATCAGCTGCCTCTTTGTGTTCTGTGACTTGTGTGTACAAAGTAGAAGCCTAGGGCTGCTTTAAGTAAGTGGTCCTCTGTGAGCCTTACTGAAAAGAAGAAAAGCCTTTGTCTTCAGGAATCTGAACAGAAACATGCATTTAGCTCTCTCACCAGGAAGTGGAAGACAGTTAGAAAAGGACCAAGGCTGTACTTCACTTACACCCTTGCAGATCCAGCCCAAGCCATCTGTCATTTGTCAAGTCGTGCTTAAGTGCTGCAGGGCAGTCTGGCATGTCTCTCTTTGTCCTCAATTATAATTCTCTCATGGCTGTGTGACTGCACTGATTACCTTGTACCATAAGACCATCCAATCCTGAATAGTGGGGATGAAGTCTTACTTATGGGAGACTCCCCAGAGCAAGATGCAGCATACCTGGAATCCGATTTGTCTTGCATATGACTGGCTGAGGAAACACACATCCAAATGTTTATATTACACAGCAAGTAAGTAAGTATGCAAAGGTCTTAAAAGACTGAAACTGTGGGAACTTGATGAAGCAGAGGCTGGACTTCAGGGATAAGCACATAATAAGCAGAAGAGTGTCTACTGAAAGGTGACCATTGCATCTTGATGTTCCCCACCCTTACAGACACTCTGGGTGCTTCATAGGAATGTGGGCTCTGCTGGATCTCAGCTGTAAGAGACAAGGACAGAGTTCTAGATGTGTATAGAAAAGAAGGGTGACTAGCAGTCACTTCTTTGACTGCCTCTTGAGCAGGAAGTCTGCTGTGTGGACTATGACAGGACTTTCTCTCCTTAGTCTCCTAAACAGTGACCTGGACTCTATGAAGTAGGAAAGAGAAAGACAAGAACACAGGCAGAGGTGTAGAAGCAGTGGAGCGATGATAATGCCCGGACATAAGCACAGTCAAGCACTCAGAGACACGGCTCCAACTAACACATCCCAGAACCTAATATGACAGGCAGGACAGTCGTCCTTGTCTCTGGACTGTCCTCAAGGATGTGTCTGTTGAAGCTCTGTGTCAGCTGAGGGAGAAAAGGGGAAAGTTGCCACACTCAGGAAGGTTCTACTAAGCCTTCCTCCTCAGTCCCAGAGTTTCCACCTCCCCGCTCCAGCTCCAGAGCTTCCAGGCACCAGTGCAGCCTCATGGTGACACCCTGCTCTAGCTTTGATGATGATGAGGAAGACTTTGTGCTCAGAAGGGCTGCATAGAAGTTTCTGAATGTTGAAGAGAAAATTAAAAACGTCCCTCAAGGCTTGCGCAACTAAGGCTTCCAAAGGTGTAAACACAATTAGTAGCTCTGGAAAGACTCAGAGAAAGGGCCTGCATCCTTCTGTGCTAGTGTGCTGTGAGGATGAGAAAATGAGACTGTGTGGAATGGCTTGTGAGTGTCTCCAGCTGACCATGAGGCTCAAGAGATCAGTAGGTGTCTGTGCACTAACAGTTAGCTTGCAGGAATGTGTCCTCTGTGATCTCTGTGTCCTGTGCTTTACTCTCCCTGACAGTGCCTAGGCCAGACCTGGAAAGAACAAACATTCTGACTGAGAAGAAACAAATCTAAAACTATGAAGAGGTGCTGGGCTGGAGAGAAAGCTCAGTCAGTCAAACCCCTGCAGTGCAGGCACTGTGGGCCAGATGCTCCATCTCACTGGCCAGCCTGAGTCAGTGAACTCCAAAAACATGAGGTGGAGAGCAACTGAAGAATACATCTGCCATCTTCCTCTGGCTTCCTCATGCACCCACACTGATGTACACACCCACAAAACCGTGTACATACACACACATATACAAAAAGGCACACATGCATGCACACCCATAAACAGACTATCAAGATGTGTTAAACCAGTGTATTTGCAGAGTTACAGCCCTATTAACCAAGCTGAGAAAGAATTTGCCACAGGTCTATGAAAAAAAGTAGGCTTGCTGTCAGTAGGCTTGCCCCAACACTACGTTCCAAATCTGACCTTGTTTTCCACAGCCCAAGTCTTATGCTTCATCTTGTCACTGATGTGGTTGCGAAAGTTAAGGAAGTCCCTTCTTAATGTTTCCTCAAAGAAGGGACCATGACTGTGAACAGGCTCTGAGAAAGGGTGTTAATACCCACTGGCAGGTCTCAGAGGACTGGCAGACACATTTGGTCCAAGCCTAAGTTAGCCTTTAGACTGGCAGGAGAGTCGTGGGTGAGTGAACTTCCCAGAGGGTGGGTGGGGGTGGGTAGGGAG